TACATTATCTTTACAGCCATCATGATAGAAAATCTGTTCCAGGAAGGAGTTACTATGTCAAATTCTTTAGGCAGTTAGTGGGGGAGGTCAAATGTCCCTCAGAGAAAACAATCAAGGTAAAGAGATATATTTCAGAGTGGCCAAATCTTGATCTCTCGCAAGAGATAAGGCAAATTTTACTTGAGCTGGGAAGGCAGTCTCCACAAAGGGAGAAAGCATTCCAGAGAAGCGTGGCTTGCAGCATGATTATATGCCATTTCAGAACAAAGAACATACATCAACCATGACAGGGATACATTTTTTCAAAGTCACATGAACAGATTTTTGGGAGCCCTCTCCCTGGTCTAACAGGCAAATCTAGCAAGCAAACTGCAGAGGCTTTAAGTCAGCACAGTCAAGTCCACGCTGCCCCGTGAAGCAGCTGTGCAGGCCATTGTTACCAAGCAAGGGCTCTCTTGCCACCTGTGTACACACAAGCCACACGGGTCTTGAGGGATAAAACAGTTTATTATTATGCAGTTGATAGGCAAGGAGACAAAAGGACAGCCTCTCAACTCTGTCTCCTGGATTCAGGGTTTGGGGTAAGGTTTAAGGGATTAGGGAGGGCAGGCTGGCATGTGGAAGCACTGGCAGGATGAGTTTCCATCAGCTCTCCCTTCTCTGTGTACTCCTGGCTGGCTCACAGCCCCTGAAAAATAGCCTTAACATTCTGTTGTTAAGATGAGGTCAGCACAGGGGCTGGCCCCGTGGCTTAGTGATTAAGTGCATGCGTTCTGCTGCTGGCGGCCGGGCGCACACCGACGCACCGCTTCTCTGGCCATGCTGAGGCCGCGTCCCACATACAGCAACTAGACGGATGTGCAACTATGACACACAACTATCTACTGGGGCTTTGGGGGGAAAATAAATAAATAAAATTAAAAAATAAATAAGATGAGGTCAGCACAGTAAACAAAGGTGAAGTTGCTATGTAGATTTAAGTTATTCTCTTCTCTTCTGATAAGAGTTTCTAGAGATTTAATCATCTGGCTCAGAGAGGAAAGCACCCTTACAAATGGAAATTTCTCTTGTAATGTAAATTTCCCCTACAAATGGGTAACTTATACTAGGTTTTCAGGGCTTTTTCCCTTCCTCTGCTTTTTCTTAAAAATAATCAGCCTAAAATAATTCTTATGCCAAAAGGCATATTTTGGGGTGAGAAATTCTATTCCTAGTCCTGTGGTTACACCATCTTCAGCCTGTGTCAAAATGACCTTGCAACCCCACATGTCATGACTGAAGCCACCAGCTGGACAGATCCACAGCAGGAAAAGATAAAGGGGTACCTCACTCTCACATTTCCCAGCTGCATTTATTAGAGATTGAGGGAATAATTAACGACCATGGTCCTTGCCTCCCTCCACACATAGATAACCAAGGACGTGTAGGTTAGATGTATTGCCAAGAAACTCTTGTTTATGTTAGCTTCAACATATAATCTACAGAAAAGCCCAGATGTACTCTATCCCTTTTTTTTTTTTGACATATATGAAACCTAGCTGTAAGTTTTTCTCTTTTCCTCTTCCCTGCACGTACAGTGTCTTGTGAAAGCGAGATAAGCTGCACTTAAACTCACACCCTCGGAGCAGTTCCATCAGAGCGCTCTGCTGAACTGTTTTCCAGGGGTTCAAACTGCTCATGCTGATTATTGAATAAACTCCTTCACTAATATCACCCAGACTATTTTAGTCGACAGTCACAAGGAGATATTTTGCTGCAGTTCAGCACGTACACAGCAGGTCAACTTTACCCGGGTTTCCGGGAAGAAAAACTTATCTTCAAAAGTGTACTGGTATTGACGTTGCAGGAAGGGAGGCATGCATTTGTGGGGAGAGAGGGAGAATCCCCCTCTGCCCCTTCCCTTAAGGTTCTTATGGCTGGCCAAATAATTAACAAGACAGGTTAGCAGGAGAAAATAATACCAAGTTTAATAACATGTATACATGGGAGAAACTCAGAAATGAGCAACTCGTCCCTCTGCCTAAGCTGCTTGCTTAAGTATTGTAGCTAAAGGCGAGGAAGGTGTTGGGGTGGGTAGTGGTCTGGGACTTCAGAAAGCAAGAAAACAATTCTTTTCAGGGTCATCTATAGATAATGTGGTCAGGGTGAGATAGAGTTTTTTGATAAAAGGGGCTTGGTGCCCCTCCCATTGTAACATCTATTTTACATTATCATTACAGCCATCATGATAGAAGATCTGTTCCAGGAAGGAGCCACCATGTCAAATTCTTTAGGCAGTTAGTGGGGGAGGTCAAATGTCCCTCAGAGAAAACAATCAAGGTAAAGAGATAGATTTCAGGGTGGCCAAATCTTGATCTCCCACACATTCCTATCTTCAAAGAGTGCAACCTTTGCTTGGGGATAGTGAGATAAAGCAGATGTACAATGTATGTTTGTCAGCCCATAAGTCAGGCTGCTGGGGTCAAAATAAAATTCAGGCCAAATCAGCTTTAAATTGGTACCGAACCAGGTTTGTTTTGCCCGCCACCCAGAAAGCCAATCGCTGAGACGACGAGATTGCAGAGAGAGAGGGTTTAATCACAAGGCAGCCACCTGAGGAAATGGGAGAATGAGTCTCCAATCCGTTTCCCCAAAAATAGGGACTCAAGGATATTTATCTGGAAAGGGGCAAGATGGTCTGAAATGTGGAGAGAGATGATTGGAGGTGAGGAGAGGTGAGGTAATTGATGATCTGTGCAGGCGTAGTCAGACTTCATGCCTCTTCATAAGACTCATGTTCACAAAATGGCAGCATTGGCATGACCTGAGGGTGGAGTTTTTAGCCTCTTGACGTCAAAAGGTCACTTATTGGACTGCGTGGGCCCAGTTGATGAGCGGGTGGTCTCAACCACCTGAAGTGGACAAGGGGTTCAAATTCCTGAAAAACAGCTCAAACATCCATTACCATGGTGATAACCAGGGAGATGTTATCTATAGGAATGTGATAACCGGGGAGATGTTATCTATAGGAATCTAGTGGGAGTCAGATAGCATATTGCCTAAATAGCACAGTTAACAAGAGCGTGTAAACAGCTGAAAGCTATAGCCAGTAATTGCAAAAATGAAAAAAACTTTAGTTCCTAGCTAGGTAATCATCAATGGCTGCTGGTTTCAAAATCAGAATAGCTTCCCCATACACCCTGATATTTTAACATTTTTCTTACATCAAGCACATGTGAAGCCCCACCCCCTTTCAAAGAGCCTCTGGTCACTTTTTCTCAGCGCTCCAGCGGGGTTCCCTAGCTGTCCATCAGAAGTTTGGACAGGGCTCCTTGCGCTCCGGCGCGTGCAGGAGAGAAACTACATTACCCAGAAGTCTGTGCCAGGTGGGAAGCAGTGAGAGTTGGACCAATAAGAGACAGCGAAAAGGGCGTTTTTTTTGCAAGGGCTTGTTGGGCGGGACTTCCGGCGTCTTGGGCTGGGTCGTTCTTTTCAACCTTTGGTCCTGCGCGCACAGGCTCTCTGCGCCGGTGGCCGTTCAGTGCCTTGCGGGGAAGCGCCATAAGGAGACGGGAGCAACCTCTGCGCTTTGTAGGACCTCGGGGAGGGTTCGAGTGACCCGTCTCGGTCGCCGCTCCGCACACGGACTTCGATGACGGTGCTGGCTTTCATGGACCCGGCGCAGGTGAGTGGAGGGTGCGCAAGATCCCTACCCACTCGGACCCCTACCTTCACTGTCTGGCGTGCTGGTGTGGGAGATGGTCGTATCCAGGGAGTCTGCACCTTCCCCTCGCTGCCGTTGAGACTGGGGGCCTTAGGATAGGGTCCCTTGTGGCCCGTGGTGTGGAATGCAGGCTGGGGTTTACAGGGAGAGGTCCGTTTCTGGCAGTCACCGGTTTGCATTGTGGAAGAGAGAATGTAGCTTCTGAGAATCTCTCCAATGCGCGCAATCCGCAAGGACCTTCCCGTTGGGTGGAACAGCGCCGCTGAGTGCGCAGACCTCGGTGTGGACTTTGGGGGTCACCCATCCCAGGGCTGTGACCTTGTCCAGCTACCGTCTCTAAGCTGGGCTTCCATTTCCTCAGGTATAGAATGGGAATGTTAACAATTGTTCTCTCTTGGTTTAGAACTAGAACTGCAGAGGGGACATGTGTTATGTGCTTCTGTTCCCCGCACTGCCGAGGTAACATGATGCTGTGCTCTGTTGCCGGGGAGGTGCGTTCCTGGGTCCGCAGTGATCTTAGGGGCTCGCTACAAGAAGAATCTGGCTCCTTGGGCCTTCCTGGGCTCTGACCTCTACACGGCTGATGAGAAGAGTGGGAACGGGGCTAGCCTGGTGGAAAAAGTGGGTGGGAATAAGGCTTTTGGAATTGCTGCTCCCCTGCTAGGGCACAGAAGATCGGAGATCAGGTTGAGAGCCAGGAAGTACCCTGGCTCCATCTTTTGCAGTTGCCATCTGATTCTTGCGGGTGGGGTTGACTTGCTGCTGGCTGTAGTGAATCAGTCTACCTGTTTAGGACACTCGCAGTTGAAAAGCAGATCCATTCCATGCTCAGTAGTGATGGTGTGCAGGAGTGACGTGTCTTTTTAGATGTAAACGCACAACAGGCCCCGGATTACTCCCTAGCATGGCACCCACCCTTTTACTTTTGTCATAGCCCTAATCACTGTCGGGACTTGTCTTGTTTGGGCATTTGCCATGTATGGTTCCCTTTGTCACCTCATTTCAGGCTCCCTCCACTGTCCCTTCCTTGGAAAGGCCTTCCCCACTCACCCCATTTAAACTTGACCCAATCTCTGATGCCCTCGCTCCATTTTGTTGTCTGTAGAATCCTTAGGGCCATTCGACATAGTATTCTGCATTCCTTCTTCGGGACCTGTCCCCAACCCTGGAACATGAGCTCCTGATCTCTGCTTTATCTTGGGACCCAGAACAGGCAGGGCCTGTACCTGGTGCTCCATAACTGCTTAATGAGTGCGTGACTCTCCCCTCCAGGGACTCCTGTCACACTTAAAGCCACACCTTCCACCATGGCTTTAAGTCCGTCCTACATCCACCTCTCCCCCTCCCCTTCTGTTCTCTCCTTCCATTCCTCCTTGCTCACTGCCCTCCAGCTAAGCTGTCTTCAACATTCCACGCTGTTTCCCAGCCTTTGCCCTTGCAGTTCCCTGAGCTCGGGAGACTGCCCCCCAACCTCTGCAGAGCAGCCTCTTCACTTCCTTCCCAGCTCTGCACCAGTGTCTCAAGAGTCTTTCCCTGGCCTTGCTAGTTCTAGATAAAGTTCCCCCGTCCCCACCTGTGCATTTCCTGGAATCTTTGTGCACAGAATCTGGTAGAGTTACAAAAGCAGATGTGGGAGATCAAGATTTGGCCACCCTGAAATCTATCTCTTTACCTTGGTTGTTTTGTCTGAAAGACATTTGACCTCCCCCACTAACTGCCTAAAGAATTTGACATGGTGGCTCCTTCCTAGAACAGATCTATCATGACTGCTATAAAGATAATGTAGGATAGAGGTTACAATAGAAAAGGCACCAACAAGCCCATCTTATCGGGAGTTCTGTCTCTCTAGCCACATTCTTTGGATGGCCCTGCGAGGAGTTGCCAATCATTTACAAGGGAAGTCTCCATTTGTAAAGGTATCTCCCTCCCTGTATTGGGAAGAGGGGGGATGAGCTCATTTCTAGTGACTTATCAATGTGGAAGTTGAGGCCTTGGGGCTGCATAATAAACCTTACTCTCGTTTACTGTGCTTTAGTGGTAATCTCCTGTAACTGACTCCCCCAACCCCCAAAATCCTCCTTTGTCATTGGCTGAACATGGTATTTAAGACGAAAATTTCTGCTATTGTGTTGAGAAACGCAGTGTCCCTGCTTTCTCCCATGTATACATGTTATTAAACTTGGTATTATTTTCTGCTGCTAACCTATCTTGTTAATTATTTGGCCAGCCATAAAAACCTAAGGAAAAGGGCAGAGGGAGATTCTCCCTCTTCCCTGACACAGAGATGGGGGCTTGGTTGATTTTGTTTTTCAGGATATTCCGAGAGCAAAGAGGAAAAAGACCAACTAAACCATGCACAACAGCTAGCCTTCATTTAGCCCTTGAACTGTACTGAGGCAGAGTTATCTCCACCTCAGAGTGAGGTTTTTTTTATCATCCCTGCTTCATAGAAGGAACTTGAGACCTGCCAAAGGTCACAGAGCTCCTGAGTAGCCAAAAGTCAACACCCTGTACACTGACCACCAGAGCCTGCATTCTTAATCACCCTTCCACCCGCGGTGGACTGGGGAAGCCTGGAGCTTACACCTAACGTAAGCTTCACAAAGTGGGCAGGTGTCCCTTTGGTGTGTGGACTTGGGAAAGAGGGGGATGGTGGACCTTCCAGCCAGACGGAAGTGTGTGTACACAGGCAGGGGTATCTCTGAGATGTGTCTCAGGAGGGCGAGATGGTGTGGTCTTTTACAGATGTTTGAATTCTGCCTCTGCTCCAGAGACATGTGACTCTTGGTGACTTGCTAGAGCTGCCTGAGCCTCATGTCACTGACTGTGCCCCAGAGATGATGATGGTGTTTACATTCTAGCTGTGGGAGGATTAATAAAAATAGGAAACACACGCCAAACACTGACACGTATTTGCTTCATGAACATTTTCTCTTTAATTCTCACAACCACCTGGTGAAGTGGGAACTATTATTGTATTGATGCGGAAATCGAGGCTCAGAGAAACAAATTGACTTCCCCCAGATGATAGAGCAGCTGAGTACCATTCTCAATAGGCTCTATTCAAAGTCAGAATCTATCTCCAGAGCTGGGAACTTGTCATGGCTAGAATATGGCCTGTGGAGCCTCAGCAGGGTGCAGGCACACGGTGAGGCCCAGCGAGGCTCAACTGTGCTGCGTTTATCTTGGTGGGATTGTGATCCTAGTCATTTCCTCCTATTCCTCTTCATTCCCAGAGTGCTGGCTGTCTGCTGCTCAGGCCACATGGCCTTGCCCTTGTCTTGTGTCTTTTGTGAATGGTTTCAGTATACAAGGCTTTCGTCTCTAACACCATCACATTCTGTCCATGGGCAGTGTCTGCCTCCCTTGGAGCTTGACAGAGAGCTAGGTGCTGTTGGGAAGGAAGAACTGTTCCTCTCCCCTCTAGGTTCTGCTGGCTGGTCTAAGAATTAAATTGACATGGGACAGATTAATAAGGGAAAGTCAAATTTAATGAATTTCGTACATATGGGAACCCCCTCATCCATGAGAGATTCACAGACAGACAGGCAAACTGAGGTATTTATGCCCTCTTGAGCCAAGAATGGGATAGGGGCTTTAGAGGGGAGGAGGGTAATTCACAGGAGGTTAAGAAGAGCAGATGTTCAGTGATTAGATGCTGCCCTATTGCACAGATAGGTCATAAAAAAGGTTACTTCTGGTAATATGCAAGGCCCTTAGTTTAAATTCCTCCAGGGAAAAGTAAAAGTTTCTCTTGAGCCCACAGGGTCTCGATTGCCTTCAGCTCAAAATACTCCACACGCCGAAGTAGCACATCTTGGGGCGGCCTCCCCTGATCCCCATCAGCTCTCTCCTCTAAAACTTCCTGAAAGTTTCATATATTAAAAGCTGAGCTGGTGACTGTGGAGAGAGAAACCAAGTTAGCAGCCAGGTGGTAAGAAATCTGCAAAGGGACAAAAAAACATAGATTAGAATGCGAATGAATAAACAGAGAAGAACAAACCTGAGCACATCTCCCCACTCCCCATTAAACCAGTTCCCTAGTCCTGGGAATAGGTCAGTCCAATCAAATGTCTTTGCTCCGTTTATCTGATGGGAAGTGTTAATCTTCTCTTCAGTACATGTAAGTTAGATACTACTTGTCTTGTTTGTTTCACATAAAAGCAGTATTTTTCACCAATGATTGCACAGCCTCCTCCTCCTTGCTGGGCAGGGAGTGTATCTAGGGCATGGCGATTTGGGAGCACCACAGAGGCTAACCTGTTGATTTCTGCCTGGTGTATTTTCAGAGTTTGCATAGTGGTATTGAACTCTTGTTCCATTACCATAGCAGATTTAAGATCACCTTTTCCAATTCATAATCTCCAAAGCTTGGGAATAAGACCCTCAGTGCTGAGAAGAACTTGGAGTTGTGATACACAAGTGGATCTCTGTGCTTTCTCGAGTGGCATGTGTATGTGACATGACTTTATGAACAAAGGAGCCCATGTTTGTAACTTGGCTGGCATTTAGGGTGGAGTATTTGGTGACATAAGGGGCCAGGTGTCCGAGTCCACATCGTCCTGATCGTTTAGGTGGGAACCCTTTATATACTTTGTTGCCACGTAAAATAAAAAGACCAGTGTGGTTTACAGACAAGATTAGAATGGAACCTGTAATTCACAGGGTCTGGATTATTCTAAAACCTTTGCCATTGGTACTGTTAGTGTCCAAATACCTCCATTTTCCATGTGCTCCTGTCAGTCTGTGAGAGCAGAACAGACTGAAATGGCTGGTATAGGAGGCCTGTAGTCTAGTTTTGGCAGCTGTAAAGCTTGGTTCTGTCACCCAGCCAAGTAAATCCAGATTTTTGACCCACCCATATACAATTTGTGATATTGGGAAGCTTAATCATGGGGGCAGCTACAACACCCCAAGTTGTGCAGTGGTGGCCTATGAACCATCCAGGACATTGGGTGATT